TGCTTGGCTAGAAAGCTCTCATTTAATAACTGGGGTAGTGCATTAACAACACTAAGTTGAGAGCACTTACCATTTGCAAAACGCTTGAAGAACGCTTCTAGAAGAAGAAAAATACAAAGAAGAAAAGTTGTGAATGGGATGAAACGAAATCTGAAAGCTTGGATTGGAATCCAGCAGGATTTTGCAACAGAGGCAGACCCAGGAGGCGAAAGCGGTGGGGCACCAACAAATAAATTACAGAAATCGAGCTTTGAGTGTGTTGGTTTATTTCCTTTAAATTCCGTTATAATTGCTTATCTTTTGACTGTCTGACTGATTGCTGTCAAAAGATAAGCAATTATAACGGAATTTAAAGGAAATAAACCAACACACTCAAAGCTCTTCATAAAGGGATTCCGTTAGGAGGTTCGACAAATTTAAAAGATTAAAGAAATCGACTTAAATTTAACCTGGTATCTGGCCAAGGTGAAAAAAAAATAATCGCCCAGGGTGGAAATCATTCACGTTGGCTATATTCACCAGTCTGGTCCCCTGATCCGATTTCGGAACAGTTCACTTTAGCTTTGCAACGCGAAAAGAATCTCTTTTTTATGAATATTGCTCATTTTGCACCAAATTCGCCTACTGCACTATCGCTCAGAATTGTTTATGGTCAACCTAGAAAAACTATAAATTAATCATTTTGAATGTCAAAAGTGCTGCATTTTTCAATAGAGTGTCATATCGACATACTATTGGTGTTAGAACTTTGAAATTTAATAATTTTTATTTTTTAATGCATGAGCGAAAAAAGTTTGGAAGCCTTATTTTCAGCGCAATATTGGTGCAAAATGCGCTATACACTTAGTTGTTAGCTTTTTTTTGCTAATAACAGGGTTTTAACCTGCTAGGAATGCCGTTAAAAAATCAATGTATTCCGATTATTTCGATGTTATTTCAAGAGCACCTAATCCATTGGGGCCTCCCTTAGCTCAGTCGGTAAAGGCGCAGCTACAAAGCAAGACCATGCTGGAGGTGACTGGGTTCGATTCCCGGTCCGGACTAGGAATTTTTCAGGTTGGAAAATTTCTCGATTCCCTGGGCATAGGAGTATGATTGTACTTGCCACACAATTATACAAATGCAAAAATGGTAGCAGGCATCGAAAGCTCTCAATTACTAACTGTGGAAGTGCATCTAGAACACTAAGTTGAGAGCACGCAATAAGCTAATATGCCACAAGCAATAAGCTTGAAATGCGAAGAAGAAGAAGAAGACCTAATCCATTGAACATGATTTTAGCAAGAATATTTTATTTTTTTAAACCCTAAGAATCAAGTTTTGAAATTGATTTGTTATCTAACATAAGTATTAGATTTCAAAGAAAGTTGCCTATCTTTAATTCGAATCAAAAATCATTAATACTCACACAGAAATAGATTTTCAAAAGACTTACAGATCAGGTACATCTCTGACGAAATAAAACTGGAGCTTGGGAGGCTGATTATGATTTGAGGCAACTTAAAAAAATTTAGGGTTGTGTCCTAGACACGACCGCAGTATGACGTAGAACTACGCAAAATTGATGTATGTCATGCATTTTTGATTATTATACGTTATCTTAAATTTTTCAAGTATTTCAATGTTTCGGTTATGGTTCAAAACTCACGAGTCGTGAGTCACGACAATTCATGTTAGCATAATCAGACCACGGTTCATCTTACGCATGAGATAATGTATTTAAATTTAATGTAATGGTTAAGAATTGACAGAATTTCCCCTACATAACTACCTTGGGTTGATCAATGCTGAGTTATTTTGCTGTGATCAATGTACACACAATTTGACATCGACATCGACTACAATAGGAACTGACACTATTTCATCACACATTTTTGTTGATTTGCACATCAGTATAGTACACAAAAACGCCATGCATATCGTGGGATAAAACAATTGCCAAAAAATACATTATTTTTTTCAGTAGCTCCATCATTAGCTTTAAATGCTTTAGCTTTATAATAACGCAACAGGCAGTTGTTTTACCTGTCAGAAGACGGTACTTTAAATATTGAACAAAATGTTGGTTCATATACCCCAGGAAGGGGTATAACGATCATACGGGGCTTAAGCTCCTCTTTGTTCTCCAATTTGGAGGACAACCCTAACATAAAATTACCATGCATCATCATTATGTACTTTACAGCGTATCGTAGAATGATTGCAAAATAGAATATGTAACTGTTCTCAAATTAAACGTTTGGTTTCCAATAAGTAGGTGCTTAGTACAACATTTTTTTGAAAATTTGGGGATTCAGCTATTGAATTTGAAAGTCTGAGTAAAAGCTCGTATACAGGTTCTCCACCTGTTTAATGTTTTGATAGTAAACATCATAAATAAGGTACACCACAGGTGCAAGTAGAAACAGTAGGTGTATCTCTTAGTGGAAGTGAATATTCACTGTAATTATTTTTGAGAGGCATTGTGTGCTATCGCAAACTATATTAGAAATAATCTCAGTGATTATTCACTTCCACTAAGAGCTACATCTACCGTTTTAACTTCCCCACGCGTTTCTACTTGCCATGGTAGGGTAATAGATTTTGGTTGGACCTATTCATGTCATTTTCGCACTGCGTCTAAATGTAAGCCGTGGTTTTTCTATGAATATTACATATGGACTTGAAAAATGTGTGTTTGGTGATAAAGTCTAGTTTTCTAGTTTATAATAATACTAAAGAATGTACAATATTCTCAAAATGATTTTATTGAAACGCAGGTTCGTAATCACACAAGCATTCCTGAGTAATTGCGCTAATTGGAAACAGTAGATAGAACTTCTTTTTCTATGATGCACGGTATATGCATTTGGGTTAACATCTGATGTCCCTCCTTCTTTACATATACTGCACAAAAAATACTTTCTAAGCCCCGCCCCTGCCAGAATTTCCCACCGTTTTTTTTATGAATGGGGTGGGTCAGAAAGTATGATTTGTGCAGAATATGTAAAAAAGGATGAACTTCGGATGTTTATCTAATTGCATATATAGAGGTACCAGATATGTTTTACAGTCAGTTGGTGGTAAATCACCCACAGAATAACATCAAAATATTATGCAGAACTTTGAGTGGGTTTGTTTATTTCCTTTAAATTCCGTTATAATTGCTTATCTTTTGACAGATACGCGTATTTCGTCTACTACTTGCAGACTTCATCAGTACCAAGTACTCAACACAACTATCAAAATATTGTGAGCGATCAAATTCGAAGCTCTCTGGGCAGTAGTTGGGTAAAAAATTAACGGAATTAATTTTCTTTTACTATATTATAGTTTGCTTAACAATTTTTTCCTGGAAAAAAGTGATCATTAAAGACCATGTTTTTTTTCAGGTTGTCGTTATAGGGGAGGGGGAGGGGGTGTTTTGCATAAATAACTTTTCCACGTTTCGTATTAGGGGATGATCATTAATTACGTAGACAATTCTTTGGGATTCTTGCCCCCCTCGTAGTTAATGAACCGCCCCTTTGTTGAACGGCACCCAAGTCACCTTTAACCACTGACTTGCTCCTGCTTACTGCAGGACCAAGTGCCACGCCGTTCGAAGCGGTAATGAGCAGAAACGCGACAGCAGCGCTGTTTTATATCTTTTAAGAACGATGTGCAACCAAGTGGTACTCGATTATGATGACTGGGTTTGGAAAACACGCTTATTTCATGAAAACAATGATATAATTATCATTTTTACATTTTTCAACAGTTTTACTACTGAAAATTGGAAAAAAATTTATTTCAGCAGGTTCGTAATGTAATATCCTATCGATTGGCGTATTTGGATTTAAATTTCATCTATAAATGACAAAGTTACAAGCATTCAAAACCTAACGCTATTTCACCACACATATTTTTTGATTTGCACCCCAGTTTAGTCGACAAAGACGTAGTTCTACGTCAAAAACAGTTACATGGTTCAATTCAGGTTTGGCAAAATATCATGCTCCCTTATAAATCTCACCAGAGTCATCTAGATCATACAGGATGTTAAAAGACACATAGGGGATATGGCTCTAATGTTGGCCTATAGATCTAAGATTGGGCCCATCGCTAAAAATTTGCTACTTATCAATTTTATATAGATACACGCGTCATTGGGACGGTACTAATGGATATTTTTGGTTGCTATTGAAAATTTAGTCGATTGTTGAATTTATGTATGGGCCTAAATTAGGGGCATTTAGGCCGACATTATATCCATGTCCCTTATGTCTATAAACTCGAGCTGAAAATCAATCTTAGCCATTCTGTTGAATCTGCAACAGTTTAAAATCATATTGGTGAGCTAGTTGTTAAGAGACCATTATAAAGAATTAATATATCTACACCCAACTGACAAATGAAAGATTTTATTACAGATTGGCATGAAAAGTATGCTTCCTGACATGAACAGATTCTGTAATGTGGTCGCCGGAAGGTTTTTATAAGAATTGGTTAATTTCTATGTTAGCTTATTTTTCGAATCATAGTTTGTTTCCCCAAATGCATTGCTTCTATAAAAACTTCTCGTGAAGATTTTATACAAAAATATGCATTCCATTGCAAGAACTGCCATTACATTTGTTGCCTGAAACATATGCAGAGGATGTAATAAATCCAACCTTACATTGGATATTTGAGAAATTTCTTATGCGTGTTTACTTGAATACATTTTCGTCCAAATCAATAAGTTCAAACAAATTTGCTTTTCTATAAATTCAACATACCAAACTATCTGTCATCAAATCCGTCCTTATTCAGAAACAAACAAAAAAGTCATAATCTAACAGCTAATATTATCTTATCGCAGTATTATCTGCACGACCTGATTCGAGCATTTGTTGAACCTTGTTTCGACTTCTACGATTCTTCCATTACCCCGACAATCTTTCTGTTTAATTAACACCACACGACTCAGTATTCTAACTCTTCATTATCACCATTCAACCTTTTCCCATTGCCAAAAAAAAAAGCCACAACATACTGACCTGTTTGTGAGCGTTGAAATTCTCGTAGCTTGACTGCTGATTCAAGTCAATAACCTCTTGCTACCCAAAATATGGCGACGACGACGACGACGACGATGTCGTGCTTCAAATGCTTACTCTGCTGCTGCCTGGCTCTGTCCTGCTTGATTCAAAAAAATCCTTTTCACTGTATTTATCTTCACCTTCTTCGCGCCTGCTGCAGAGAGTTAAAGTACACTGAAAAATATAAAGCAATTTCACTCACTTTTCCTTCCGTTGCGATTCTTACTTTATCAATCGTGCAAAACAAGCCACTTTCGACTAACAACAAGCCCTCGCCAAACTCACAAATTGCGCTTTTTCTTTCTACCACCAGACAACTGTTGCCCACCGACACTCTCTAGACTCTAGCCTGACAGGGGTTGTGTTGTGGTTAAACAACTTTGCAATGCGCTGACTGTGGAGGCGGTGAGATAACAGATATCGAAGCGAAATGCTTCACTTTCCGCCAGCAGAGCACGATAACAGCAAAAATATAAAAAAAAAAATATGTATGAATCGGTGGGCAGAAAAATGCGCCTTTGTGCAGTGGGCATAAACGACACTTGCAATTGCAACTAATGTGGGTGTACTTTCAAAGAAATTTTCTGTATGAATGCAATTTTCTTCTAAACACACACTGTCACAGGTCACTAGTCGTAAAGGTTCAGTACGTGTAGGTGTCACAATATACAATAAAAAAAAAGATCACTAAACTGAATTAGCCGAGCGCATAAAGTTACGTGCAAAAAATATTCACCGCGGTTTAGGTGAGTGATGATCTTGCCGCCGAGCACCGAAAGCAGCGGGACTGATTTTTATTACAATTATTATGTCACTGCATTGCGCACTGGAAAACAGCCATAAAACCGACCCGGACAGATTCTACGACCCGATATTGGCGGGTGGCTACTAGAAAACGGTAGAAAACGGATAGTCACACCAAAAAAGCTGTTGAAGAGTTGTGGACAGAGCACCTCGAGAAACACGTGCGGCTGGCTCGGGAGTCAGCGCGATACTTGGCGAGTTGGTTCAGCTTTTTGGCTGGGGAGCCGTTCCAGTCAGCACCAGCGGTTGAGCCGTTTGTTCACAAAGCTAGCTGCTTTAGACTGTATTCAGACCATAGCGTGCGCGGGGCTGGATTTTTCTTGGTAAGGAAGAGATAAAAGTACTTGTGGTCTCTCTCATGCCTACGCAAGTCCCGCCCCGTGCGCGCCAAGCTCGCTCAGGTCTCAAGACACCTTTAACCCTTGCTTGACGGCGGTGGCGCAGGCAGTCAGTCAGTCAGTCAATAAGCATTTAGCTATTTGAGTAAGAGAGCGAGCGATTCGACTTGTCGTTCTCTTTGGATACAGCGTTGCTCACAGTGCTTGAGATTAGGTTTAGTCGAGATAAACCCATCAGGTTGAAGCGGCTTGCTCAGCAGCGAACGGCTTATGATTTAGTGGATTGATCATTCAAACAGCAGTGGTATCATTTTTTATGAGAGATAATATTGAGCAGACCTGCGACACACGAAAATGAGAGAAAACCAAATGTAGCATGCAACATGGAAACTCTTTGGATGCTACATGCGTTGGGTTGTTCGAAGCATAGGAAAAAAATGTAGCGGGCATGGTACATGACTACATATGAAACATGTAGTGCAACTCGAATTAATGTTGCGCGACAAATGCCCGCATCCCGAGTAGCATGTGATGCTTAAAATGTTAAATTTTCAGTATCATCGGCAGGATGTCGACTACCTGAAAAACCTGGGAAATCAAGGATAAGGGAATTCATTTTTGGACCTGGAAAATCAGGAAATCTCAGGGAATTTAGTTCAAATTCAGATTACAAATTACAACAGAAACTTATTAATAAGTATGGCTGACATTCTAGCTTCAAACAACTTATTTTTTTTTGTATTAATTTATTTGTACAAGCTCAATCGAATAAACTTTACAGAGCCAAGCTATCATTTGCGTTATACATAATTAATGTCTTAAATCTAGAGTTAAAGGAATTGAACCGATTCCTCGCGGTCGTCTCGAGGTTAGTAGAGATTTACAGTTTTATGGATGGGGAGAGGGAGAAGGAGGTTTGATTTATGATTTACGATACAAATATTTGATTATTCCTAAAACATGAGCTTATTCCTATTCAATTTGGTATCCGCAATTATTACAGAAACAAACATTAAAACCCACACGAACAAAACAAAAACTAGTCACAAGGATAGCCAAACTTACAATGTAAGGTTAATATTCTTAAAGAAAACATATAAGTTTCATAAATTCCAGATCGCGTCTACCCAAAATATCCCGAAGGAAATCGCACAGCTCAGATCTGACTCCACGATGCTCGGCACAAGACCAAATAAAGTGACCTGCGTCCTGGTAACCTTGTTCACATTCACAGAGATTGCTGTCCCCCACCCCTGTTCCCCCTTTTTTACAAGTTGAGAAAACAAAGGGTATTTCGATGATTTTGAGTCTATTATAAATTCAGGTCCCAATGTGTGTTGTCAGAATTCATGAGTTAAACTGAGATAAAAATCCTTTTCCGTGGGCTCTAGACGCTGTTAGCACTGATGCCACATATACAGGTTTATCTGTAATGATACATATTTTTTCAATATTTTGATACAGATATATGCATGATTCCAGATTTTTGAAAAAAATACACAGATTTTTCAAATAAAGATAATGTATTTGATTTCTCGGCAACCTAAGCAGCGACCATCTTTCTATAGCCTTTTTCTCTAAAGGAACGCACACATATGCAGTATTGGTTTGTTTACAATCTTTTCCTGCCAGCTGCTCTAACAATTTCAGTCGAAAGAGTTGTCATTTTGAAACGCTTTAACAAAGCTCCAATCTTCTCTAGTGAGAGCGAGTATTGTCGGCAACCAGTTTTTCTTCGGCAACCGTTCCATTTGAACTGCATGTAAATCTGCTGTTCTATTATGGGCAACTCAAAATCAGCTACAACTTGTAGTGCGTGTGTTGCATTTCAAGAAAACCTTGCTAGATTGTTTTTTCTCAGTGGTAAAAATATAGTCAAATTGAAGCTGAAAGCATAAATAATCGTTTGCATGCATTCAGCGAAGTGTTTTCGTAAGAAAATCCAGTGAAAATAGTGTTTCAATTTACGTTGCCGAAAATAGTCTGTCATGCCGAAGCCGTCATTTCCCCTATTTATTTATTACGATAAATAAACATTTTTTTTCCCTTCTGAGCAACTTGAATTCAATCTGAGCATCAAATCCAAATCAATTTTTCACTAAATAAATATTATTATTTTAGCTTCGAATGGACTTGGAATCTTTCGAATGGACTTCTGATGTTCAGATGTTCTGATTTCTCGTTGTAAGGGATATTAGTTTCCCTTTCAATTTGTTTAATTAATCATGTCACATCATTACAGATACGAAGGTTAATTAAATATGTTTTTTTGTCAAATCCATAAACAAGCCATTTTATTGGTGTATAGATTTAGTCGTTTGTTGCTTGTTTGGAAGAGGAAGTGGGGAGTGTTGGACGATCGGTTAGCGTTGGATAGAGGAGAAAGGGTGAAGGCAGTGTTGCAGAGTTCGCCTATATAGCAGCCATCCTGCAAGATTCTCAAAGAAATATTAGAGCTACGTCCCTTCGATTCACTGCTTAAGCAGTTTACAAAACGAAGTAAATCCTCCGTTGGACTCACGATGTCTTGATCACACTGAGGAGCAAGTTGGAGTGATGAACCTATCAAGAGAGCACTCGATTCAGGACATTTCATTCAAGTTTTACCAGACCGCCAGACCGGATGTAGATCCTCATCAACCAAACGATTTGGACTACTGCGCTGAAACATTGCTTGGCAGCTTGATACAAATTCACTTGGTCACTCGGTGAGATCGTTCTTTTTTATCTTTATATATCTAATTATATTTCACTTCAGCTTATCGTTTACCAAAACAAATCCTGCTGCAAACCCAACCCTCTTACCCAACATCCCAGTGATTCCTCGTGGAAGTGCAGAGGATTTCTCGGCTTCCATCAAAGCGAGTGTCACGTCAACACATTCCTACCCATTCCTTTCTTGACCTGTGTTAGGGCGCGGCCGGCACTGGTATTGCCTAGTTTGAGATCACCAGTTTTTACACATTGAGGATGATTGCTAGTCCCAAGCATCAGGATTTTCCAGCAATCAAAGGATCACATTTTAGTCCTTGTTACTTTTTATGACTTGATAATAGTGACAAGACTCGGGTAGTGACCACCGCGCCGTTCTGCATTTCTATATTGTATATTTCAAATCAAAAATATTGTTTATGTTCATAGATTTCATATAGTCCTTTTTCCCTTTGTCCTTCTCCTTTTCCTTTCCCTCTTCTCTTTTCAGAAAGCGAGTAATGGCGCTATAGCCATAAATCATAAAAGCCTAGGACAAGAGTTAGTGCTCATACCCCAACCGTCAGAAGAAAATGGAGTATCATTTAAAATTTCTAGCTTTAATGCTTCCAACGACCAACCAATCATATAATTACCAAAATCGGAACGTACGGTACGAGATGTCCACGTTTCATCCATTTATTGGATTCTGAAGCATCGCCAAGCAGAAAATTTACCACCTTTTGGATAGAGTCAGTGTTCGGTTGGTCACAAGTCTGGTCCTGTGTAAGTTCCGGAACATCCGTAAGGGTGGTCAATTCATGAAACTGATCCTAGAACTCATAGACGTCTTAGCAGAATGAATTAGGAGTTATGAACAGAATATGGACTCTGGGGACTACGGGATTGCTTTTTTTTCTCATCTGTAGAGCCATTTTACAACTGCGTCCATTACTTAGGAATATTGTTGTTTGAATGTGGTGCTAGTCACATATCTTGTCACAATTAAGGTATGATAGACATTGGTTGACATAGCATGCAGTCCCACTTAGGCTCAACTCATTTTATAAAGTCTTATACCCTGTTGGGATTGCTTTGTCTAATTTCAAAGGGGTCTAATAGCCCTTTTCCAAATATTGACATTCTTCGATTTAATAGTGATCCGCAATTACAGAGTATCTGTTCAGCAGTTTCGTTTTCAAAATGACAAAGTCAATGACCAGTCATTAGATCAGTTATTAGCTGAAGATCTGTTTTACTAAAATTAAGTAAGTTTCGAGCTTTGGCAGCACCCGGTGTAATATTTTTTTTTAACGTGTCTGGATGTATCCGTGGCATTGCAATTAGATTTTTTTTTAGTTCTTTATTAAGGAGATTTTTAGCCTATGGCTAGTTTATCTCCGAAGAAAGGAGAGGGCTCAGAGTGAGTAACCTCTAAATACATGGTATATTAACATTTTGTTAAACTTTTTACTTTGGTTGCTGGCTCTTCAACTTATATGGAAAAAATAACAATATATAAAATAATGAAACAGAGGAACAACAGAAAACAAAATGATTTAAAACAAACTATAAACGAATAATCCAAACAAAACAGATCTCACCTGGCATGGGTCCAATAGGGGAAATCCATCCAGTTGAGATGTCTCGACGGCCGAAAGAAATTCCTGCTATACCAAGTGGTAGATTTTGGCTTCTTTTAAGAAGGTTACTAGTGCTGCCGAGGCCGAAGTATCATCCCCGAGCAGATCGCTGATGCTGGAAGTTAGGCAGAGTGACTCCCGAAG